AATTGTGTACTGCACACTTAAACTCACTCTAGCATGCTAGTTGGATATTATTGCTAGTAGTTGGTTTTTTATTCCTTCGTATTTCTCAGATCTTTTGCTTCCGCATCGCACTTTTGGTTACGTCACGCTCACGTGACGGCCAGCACGCCTTGATTCTAGGATCGGGGTGTGTCAACTTCTATTTCATAAAATTTGTTTCATATTTTTTTTTTACCATAACTTCTATTTTACAAAATTTGTTTCATATTTTTTTTAAATTCCATTTTTTCCTATAACTTCTATTTCACAATATTTGTTTCATATTTTTTTTTAATTCTATTTTTTCCTATAACTTCCTAAGCCATTATGCAATATTAAATTAAATTAAGTAACATGAAACAACATTAAATAACATTGACCAACATAAAAATTATATAACATAAAAAAACATTTAACAATACGAAACTTAAACAACATTTTTAAAAACATTTAACAACATAAAACTTAAACGCCTACTCTATGCTTCTTTTGGCCCAAAGATGTGCAACAAGATCCTGTTGTAGGTAATTGTTTGTGGCATGAGAGCGTATCATTCTATAACGTCTCATGTACTCATTTATAGAGATACTACCAGTTATTGGATTGAAAGGCAAATTAGGCTAATTAATTTTTCTATCAAGCTATATAGTATTTCACTTGTCTCAAACAACACAAGGTTGGTTTTGTTTCTTTGGTATACAAGACGAGTTATGATCCATCTCTATGACAATTTTGTAACTTTAGGTGAGTGCCGATGGTTCGATGGGAGTTAGAATGAGTATCCAACTTAAAATCAATTAATAATGCAGAGGTATGAGATCTTGCATGTGAAGTACTTTCAACACATCTTTTCATGTGTAGCATCTCCTGTGTATAACATGTGTTCAATTTATATAAGTGATGTGAGAGCACATGTGGCTATGACACTTAACAAGTTTATAAGTTATAAACTCTAGACTCTAAACCCTAAACCCTAACCTAAACACGATTTTGTTACATCAAATACATACATCATGCAGTTCTCCATGCAAACTATACCTTTAGCTAAAGTGTATTTAAAGAAATGAGTACCTTTGCTTGTTAGATATAAATATACCAATTAATTTGTACTAAAGGTTGTGGGAAAGGAATATTTGTACAGTAAATTTGAATGTAAATGCATAAACAAATAAAAAAAATCCTTTGCGGAGAGCTGCTTTTTACAAGAGCAGGATTAGTATCTGCTTGATTGATGCTGAATTTCAGAGTCCACAGGGAAATTCTGGAGCAACTCTGGAAAGTGGGGCACAACCACAAAGAGTGGTGCAGTTTATCATGAAGGGTGAGGACTAATCATCTGCTGCAGATGCTACAATGCTTGACCCGGTATTTTGATTCATCATCTTTATCCTCGCTGATGTAGTATGCTGGGAGCGGCTAGGATAAGGCAATTATTTCTTTTTTTTTTTTTTTTGGAAACTAATAAGGAAATTATTTCTGGTGCTGGATAAGGCAATTATATATACTCAGAAAAGGGTAGAGATTTTTATTTTTAATTTTAAAAAAAATAGGAATTAGTTATAGACTCACTTCACATCGAACTTCTATTTTATAAGTCTCAATTTATAGATCATCATTTCAAATATTCAATTCAATCAGAAATCATTTGTCTATTTAATTATCACGATAAAATTTCATTGTTTCTTATAAAACAAAGTGTTCGTCAATTTCTTTAAACTCTCTCAGATATTTTCGATTTGACTAATATCTGATCCTCTTTGTAGCATCTTTGTGAGGATCCCGGGAATCCTCTAATCGTGTACATTCATCGTACATTGTACGGTTAGAAATTATTTTAAATTTTATATTTAAAATTGAATACAAATAGTTCCTAACAAAAATTGACCCACGATTTACGATGAACCAACAATTTTAAAGGATCCCCTGGATCCTCACTAAGAGGATCCGAAGAGAATTCTCTCTGCAACTTGAAAAAATAGACAGTTCGGCACGTAAAATTCAACATTTGGATTAAAGTAATTTGTTTGTAAATTTTGTTTTTTTTTGTTATTCATCTTGTAATTGTTCTATAAGATGAGCGAAAAATATGATAAGTGGATAGACATATCAGCACTCTTGTTAAAATAAAGATAATGGAAGATATTGACTCACTGCCTAATTGTGAGAGGTGTTACCGTGTAACATTTCCTCGCTGGCGATCTTATCTTACAAAACCGCTAGTAACACAGAAGAAAAAACGAATTTCGAAACCAGCACTTGTCAATTAAAAACAATCCGCACGGTCACCACGCGCTGAGCTTCATTTCCCATCGGTTGTTTGCACAAATATTATATCGATCGAGTTAGGATTGGGAGACAACTATTTTTTGACATTTATTTTAGAGAACTTTAACGAAAAATTCGTAGTACTGTTTATTTTAACGAAAAATTATATTTTTAAACTAAAAAATCAATTCTGATACTATTCACTTTACCTTTTATTTTGTCTTTATCGTTAAAACTCAAAGTTTTCAAACTCTTTTCATTATCCTAGTTTTTTTTAAGGATTTGCATTGATGGAATTATATATCTTCTCCGGATCTCTTCATTGGGGATTCCGAAAATCAATTAATAACAAATGTTCATCTAACATCGTGCAATCACAATTTTTTTCTTTATTTATTTATATTTTTCACACAAAATAAGGCTGTATGTTGTTGAAAATATAAATAGAATTCAATTATAGCCGTACGATCTTTAATGAACAATTGGTTATTTGTCTCCGAGATCCCCAGTGAGGAGATCCGGAGAGGATCTAATTCCCGCATTGGTTATGTTTCAATTCATTATTTATACATCATTCTTACAAACAATTAAATAAGTCCAAAACAATTAAGACACTTACTCTTAGTGAAAAAAATAGATGAGTACAATTTTGCATATAAACAGTAAAATAACTGTCATTTAATCCAATGATCAAAGTTTCAGATTTTTAATAGATTTGATATTTGAAAGAATTCCTAAAAGATAAATAATTCAAATTGTTAAGTAATCCTAGAAAATATGTGTCTCCGAACCTAATCCTATTATTATTTTTTACTAAATAATGATTTCACCTATGTATAGTTTCCTGTTTTGTTTTTTCGAGGCCATTCGAGTTTGGGGCCCTGTGGTTGGAGTCCAACTGCTCACCGAGTTACACCAATCGATTATTATTCATGAGAAATTTTTAATTGTGATGAGAACATAAGTGTTATATTACGTGTTTTAATAAAAATGGTAGAAATTTTATTTTTTTAAATTATTAATTTTTTATCACATATATCTCACTATTTATTTAATGACACATGATGTATAACTTTATGCACCGATCATATTGAAAAATATCTCATTATTCATGGTAAACATGCCGACAAGATTTTGACCATACGAACACGATTTTGACGAACCCAAACACGTCAATTGCTAGAATTTGAATAGACAATGCGGGTTGGAATTCGTGATGAAAATTTGTCCCACGTCGACTGAAAACTTGAGGAAAGACATCTTTGAGTCCATCTCAAGCCGCGCATCAAGCGCATAAACTTGTGAGGGAAATTTGTCACACCAATCAGAGCTGCAGAGACTCTGTTTGGTCATGTTCATGAATGCATTTGGGATGTAACGCCTTTCGGGGATTTTACTCTCTTCCACGAACTTTGTAATCCTAATATATACCATCTATCGTTTTAAAAAAATAAAAAAAATAAAAAATAAAAGTAAGTCCATCTCACTTATTGTTAAATAAGAAATAAGAACTGATAAGACTGTTCACTGGAAACAGTTAATACCCTTTTGAAAGGATAAGACTGAATTCAAACCGTCATAATTGTTGGTTTAAGCCATTACAAACTATGGCTCTAGTATTAGTAACATAATGATCAATTTACAATGTTATCTTCCTATTTTTTCACTGAGATACACACACCAATTCGCCGAGAATCCAAGTTTGAGTGCAAGAACTTGAATTAGAAGTAAATGTCCGAGAACTACCACACATCAATTCGCTGTCAAGAATCCAAGTCTAAGTGCAAGAACTTGGATTAGAAGTAAATGTCCAAGAACTACCATACATGTGTGGGGACAGTTGATTTAGGCCATTATAAATATAGTTGTAGTATCAGAAATGTAATCATCAATTTCCAATGTTCCCTTCCTATTCTTTCACTAAGAAACACACATCAATCACCAAAAATCCAAGTTCTAATGCAAGAATTTGGATTAGATAGTTGAATCCAAGAACTTGGATTAGACAATTGTAGCCTACAAGATAGACATCCAAGAACAGCCACACATGTGTAGGGATGTATTTCTGCATTAGGAGATTGCTGGTGCAAACCTTTATCTTTGAAAAACCAAGTTAATAATATTATTGTGACTCTAGTTACAACTTATGTTTAATTTTTCATATTTGTGATTAAGTTATATTTAGTTCAATTTGATTTCTATATAAAGTGTGTAATTGTTATATATATTATATCATATGTATTTGGTTGGTTTTAACACTATTTCGTAATATTTTCAAATAGGGTAATCTTGTTGTGTCAAGAATTAAAACCCCTAAATTGCAGGTCTAACTTAGAAAATTACTTTAATTATTTTTGAATCAATCACTTAAAAAAGTATTAGAATGAGAAAAATAATAGCACAAATGCCTCTATGAGTCTTTCCGATCTCCGTAAATTGCCATAGCGAATGTATTTTAGTAACTAACAAAGAAAATGTCTTTTATATTTCATAAAATTAGGGTTGTAATTACTAATTAGTGGATAAGACAATGATAATGCACATCTCACATTTGTTCTGTTGCAAATATTCCAACTAGGACACAAACACATGCATGTGGTAAAAAAGAGGGAGTTTTCTTCACAAAATTAAATAAAAAAAGAAAACAATTTTTATTTTTCTTTTTTTATTTAATTTTTAAAGGGAGAAGGAAAGAGACGGGAAACATAGTCGTTCGACTCGTTCCCTTGACAGCTTTGAGACGAAACGTTGTGAAGAAAAAGAAAACTTAACCTGTTCGACATCTTCCAGTCAATACCGCCAATGCATTTTATACAAATATATAACAGCTGACATACGTTCTTTAAGCTTCTCTGGGTGGATCTCGTCAGAATCGAACACGCGTTTATAAGGTTTTCACACGAGGAGCCTTTGAATTTTTGCATTCCCGGCTGCCATTTGGAAGCCATTTGGAAATTTCTTCAATTTCAGGCTTTTTCTTCAAGTGAAATCAAGGTGAATATTGAATTCTTACAGCTCCATATGAGCTATTTCTGGTCTGTTTCTTTCTGGGTTTTGAATTTTATTTGATTTGGTTCAATATTTTGGCAGCTTTGGGGAAGAAAAATTCTGGGTTTTCTATTGAATATCTTCCTATACTATTCAGAGTTCAAATTCTGATGAGAAGATATTTGGTGGGTAGGTGAAAATTTGCTTGCATTTGCTGGAAGTTGCGATATTATATGTGTTCTCTTGAGGAAAATCGAATTGGGTCGACGCCAAATCGCGAAAGTTTGAAACTTTTGTGTGAGTTTTGCTTGACGAAGGTGTTCTAGGGTTTTGGTTATTAGAGGTTTAGGGATTGATGAAATGAGAAAGATATTAAACGTTTTCGGCAACAAATAGGTCTTATGAAGACAGGCTGTTTCATTGCTTTGATCATTCTGCTATGTGCTTCAGCATCAACGAGCTCAGAGGAGAGCAGCACCACAGAGGAAGTTTTTCTCAGTCAACTAGTCGATCCAGCAACTGGAAAGATTGATGGGGACATGGTAACACACTACATAACTTATCCTATGAGTATGTGGTTTCTAGTTTCACATGGATTAATCCTATATATGATAAATTTGGTCATATGAGTGATTCCGTCATTCGCTTTAAATTTGTATAGAACGTCTTATATATGGATTACTCTATTAGGGAGCATCATATCATATTTGTTGGTCGAAAAGTAGATTCAAAAGTTAGTTAGAAAGTCTAAGCTTTTGAGTACGTGGAAGTACGTTTGGAGCTTATGAAATGTTTAAGGCACAAAGCTAATTTTACTAAAATATATCTTGATTATGTTAAGCTAGTGAAGAATGTTTGGGCGTAACTTATTTCGAAACCAGAAGTAGTATTTGACATAACCAGTGTCTTGGTAATTTTAACAAACTTTTATATTTATTGCAGATAAACAAGGCCTTAACAGAAAACAACTTTTATTAAAAAGATACTTTGATGTGTTTGAACTTCACCTTCACCAAAGCCTTCACCAATGAAATTTTTATTCTTCATTAGCTCTCTAATACGCTCATTTTTTCGAAAGTTGACATTCAAACTTATGAAATTCTGTGGCCTGCAGGCACAGCTATTATGGATAAGTTGCAAGGTGGATTTGTTCCGTTTGACGGAAGCTATTGAACATCTTAACTTGTGGTTAACAGAGGAAACATATAGTGGCACAGATGAAATTAATTCAAAAACACGGTTATTGGGAAAAGAAAAGTTTCAAAAACTTATTAATGTCCTGCATCCTGAGGTGAAACGGACTCTATCAGATTGTTTAAGAAAGCATAATCTCCTATTCAGTGTCTCTGGAGAAGAGGGTGCCTCTAAGATTTGGTCTGTCAAGTATATCGAGTCCCTGTTTCCCATACCTTATGTTCCAAGAAGAAATTTGGCTGATGTACCTTCTCCAGCCCCTGCACCAATATATTCTCAACGTAGTCCAGTACCATCTCCTGGTGTAGCACCTTCCACTTCTCAAAGTCCTAGTCCTACACCTGCACGCCGTTCTCCACAAGGATCATTTTTTCCTTCCATTCCCCGAAATTCTGGCCTTCAAGCTTCAGGGCCAGCTTCTGGCTCAAATATACAGGAGCATAAAGGACGAGATGAACGTAAAAAAATTGTTACTGCTGTTGTTATAACTGCATCAGTGACATTTATTGTTGCAGCAGTGCTCTTTTTATGCTGTACTAAAATCTGTAGAAATGGGAAAAAGGATAGACAAAATGATGACAGGCCCCTTCTTAGCCTGAGTCTAACTGATTCTGCTGGTATAATTCTCAAATATCTTGTTTTTGTTATCTACAGTTGTTTGGAGCCCTTACATTTTGACATTTCTTTGAAATTTGTTTATGTTTCAGGTTCTTCATACAAGTCTTATGCTATGGGAAGTTCAATGAAAGAAGAGAAGCTTGACCATCAATCATTAGGTAATAACTCAAGTCATCTCAGGAAGGCCTAATCTTTAATAGCATTTTTGCGTTGAGTCTCATGTTCTCAATGCTTCACTAAATGAAACTGCAGAATTAGGATCCCCTGGAGGTGCTTCCAAGTTTGACGTATCCAACAATATCAATGGACTAGTACCACCTCCTCCTGGAATATCTCTTCTGAAGCCTCCGCCTGGCAGAGCAAATCCTCTCCCACCTGAACCACCTTCTTCATTTAAGCCTCCTCCCAGCAGGGCTAGTCCTCCTCCAGCGCCTGTCCCACCTCCCGCTTTAAACCCCCCAGGGAGTGCAGGCCCTCGGCCCCCACCTCCTCCAGCACCTCCTGGCCCTCGGCCCCCACCACCTCTAGCACCTCCTGGCCCTCGGCCCCCACCACCTCCAGCACCTCCTGGCCCTCGCCCCCCACCACCTCCAAAGAGCGGCGTTCCTCCTCCTCGGCCACCTCCAGCAATGGCTATTGGTTCAAAGGTAGCTCGACCTCCACCTCTTGCACCAAAACATCCATCGGATGCTGGATCGGAGGTTGATGGTGATGCTCCTAAAACAAAGCTGAAGCCCTTTTTTTGGGATAAGGTTCTAGCAAACCCTGATCATTCAATGGTTTGGCATCAGATTAAGTCAGGATCATTCCAGTAAGTCGCAATTTTTTTACCTTTTTTTCTTTTTGACCCATGAGTCATTAGATATTATAAGCCTCTGAAAACAATATGTGATTCTTAAAACAGGTTCGATGAAAATATGATTGAAACTCTCTTTGGGTACAACGCTGCTGATAAAAACAAAAATGAACGCAAGAAAGAGTCTTCATCTCAATATCCTACGCCACAGTTTATTCAAATTATTAATCCCAAAAAGGCACAAAATCTATCAATTCTTTTGCGGGCATTGAATGTGACCATAGAAGAAGTCTGTGATGCAATTCGTGAAGGTAACTTTTCTCCTTTCTTTCCGTGGCATTAAATAATATGCAAGTATTGTCCTTTCCTCATTTTCCAGTATGTCGAAATGAAATGTACTAGAAGGGATATATGATTTTCCTAGAGGGAAGCCTGCAAGGTAGCCATTTTATGAGGTTTGACCTATGTCAGTTCAAGTGGCAGATGCACTTAGGGATATTGTTACTCTGCAAATTCTTGGTGAAACATTTTCTTTGAGGAGTTACTTGTTCACTTATCTGCTCAGTTTTTTATTTGAGACAAAATTTCTTATTTTCATAGAAGAATAATTTGTACAGAAAACTAAAACAAAAGATGATAATGAACCTAGTGTTTGTGGAGGGGCAAGTGTGTTTGTTATTTTTCTGGATAGGACGGTTAGAATGATATAAGAGAAGTTTTGAAGATTAAGGGAAGTGAAGGGCTTGTGAGAAAATGTTTGTTATTAGGATTTGATATGTTTTGATTTTATTGATATACCTTTCTTCCACATTTACGCAGCTTGGAAGGCAGCAATCTTTAATGTAGGTGTGATTTATTGTTTTGCTGTTGTATTATCTTCAAAATTTTGTGGTGGATTTTAGCAGCCGGTAGACTAGAGATTCTGCACATCTTGATGTGTAGATAGTTTGTTCACTCTGCTTCCTATTGTTAAGCTTTTTATAACCATTTCTCTCTGAACTGTTTCCCTGCAATCAAATTGGTCACAGAAATGCATCAATATGCCTTCCAAACTCGGGGGTTATGCATCAATGTACCCCATGGCGTCTGATCATTAGTTTTTCTGTTAAAAATTGTCGTGCAACAAGCACATGATGTGATTTCAGGGGTAGAAATAGAATGGTAGACCCTCAATTGAAGATTTACAAAAGAACCATCTGTCTCTCTTTCACCCTCCTCTCTATCACCCTTTCTCGCATCTTGCTCCTAGACACAGTCAATGTACTCTAACGTGCTAAACAAACATCACAAAACAACCTATTTGAACTAATTAACCAGGTAATCAAACACTGTAGACTAAGAATAACATAAACTACCCAAAATGCTTACCTGCTATAGGACTTCAAATAATTATTTTTGAAAACCATAAGTGAAAATGCCCTCAATATTTGGTCATCTGCTTTGCATGTGATCAAATTGAACAGAAATTGAACAATCAGAAGTCTGGAGCCACATTGATGCATGGTAATAGAGTTTGAGGGTCACAATGATGCAATTGAAAGTTCGGGGGCCACTTTGATTACGGGAACATCTTCTCAAATTCTTGAGGGAACATCTTGTCTGACTAATAGAATAACATACAAAGAATTCTTACTAAAGACTGTTTCTACAATGACCCATTAACATGCGTTTACTTTTCTTAATTGGATCAGGGAATGAGCTTCCCTCGGAATTCTTACAAACTCTGTTGAAGATGGCACCAACACAAGAAGAAGAACTAAAGCTTAGAATGTTCAATGGTCCACTTTCTCAACTTGGGCCTGCTGAGCGGTTTCTAAAAGCGTTGATTGACATCCCATTTGCTTTCAAGCGATTGGAAGCACTACTTTTTATGTGCACTCTTCAGGAGGAGGCCACCCACCTTAAAGAGTCTTTCGCGACCTTAGAGGTACTGTATATCTGAATTGCATCACTTGTATGATTTTGCGTGTCATAGCTCACCTACCCATGCTTTTAGTTTTCTTACATTAACTTCTATTTGTTCAGAAAGTGTTAAAAAGAAAGAACTAATATAGCTACCTAAACTATGTTTATACAACAATAATAAACATAGAACACAGTGCAGATCTATGTTAAGCTAGCATCCTATGTTCTCTACGCTACACAAAGACATATTGCTTTTGAGATGTGCAAATCATCCGTTGATTAAGGAGAAAACACACCCCTAGTTTGCAAACCCGAACCAATAAAGGGCCAAATGCCAATAAAGGTCGTACCCAGTGCACAAGGCTCCCGCTTTACGCAGGGTCTGGGAGAGGTGAATGTCTGCTAGCCTTACCCCCATTTTATGGAGTGGCTGCTCCCAAGTCTCGAACCCAAGACCTACCGCTCATGGGCGAAGGCACTTGCCATCACACCAAGTGCGACCTCAAGGAGACAAATGCCAATGGCAAAAGAAAAATGTACAGTTGAAATGGCATGAAAAAGTTTGATGTAACAAGGAGACAAATGATGCCATGATTGCAAAGTACGCATGGGATTGGTTGCTACTATGCACATATGTTGAGAACATGGTAGTGGCAGACCTGTGGTCGCTTTTATTTCTGGTGGGGTTTAGACCCCAACTCTTGCGTATTACTTCATCTAGAAGCCTTTAATTATAAATGTCCCATGACTGCTCTTTCTCCTTAATGAGATTGCTGAAGAGATTGGAAAATGTTGGCAGATATTTTATACATTATGCTTATGGTTTTCAAAGTTCACGTCACTTCTGTGATGACTAGTTTATTCAGAATTCAATTTTATATTGCTAATGATATTCACATGTTGAAGCAGAGGACAATAGCATATCAAAACTATGTGTTAGATAGCTTTTTTAAAGTGAAACGATAGCATATCTATTAGATAGCTTCGGCTTAGTCATGTCAGCAAAGCTGAAGGCTCAAATGGCCCAGACCATACTGTCCTTGGGAGTTGGACATTAGATATGGGATCTATCTGCATTTAGAGGAGATTCCTGAAGATAATCTGGCATGAGGATATGTACAAATGTACTTGTACGACATTTATAAAAATGTCTTATCAGTTCCTATTAAAACGGGGCACAGTTTTTTGTTGTTGTAACCTATCATTTTTTGTTTGCTACCAGTATTTTTTGGTCCATATCTCGAAACATTGCACTAAAAATATCTTAATTATATGGCACCTCATTTCTACGGCAGGTTGCTTGTAAGGAACTAAGAAGCAGCCGGCTTTTCCTCAAGCTTTTGGAAGCTGTTCTTAAAACTGGCAATCGCATGAATGACGGAACATTTCGTGGTGGAGCACAAGCTTTCAAACTTGACACACTCTTGAAATTGTTAGATGTAAAAGGAATAGATGGCAAGACAACGCTTTTGCACTTTGTTGTTCAGGAAATAATCCGCTCTGAGGGTGTCAGAGCTGCTCGTACAGCAAAAGAGAGCAGGAGTTTCTCTAGCATCAAAACAGATGATCTCCTTGAGGACACTTCCAATGAAACAGAAGAACATTATCGCAGTCTCGGTCTTGAGAAAGTTTTAGGTTTAAGCAATGAACTTGAGAATGTCAAAAAAGCATCTGTTTTAGATGCTGAAAGCTTAACAGGAACTGTTGCCAAACTTGGTCATGCACTGATAAAAACCCGGGACTTCCTGAACACGAACATGAAAGATTCAGGGGAAGATAGTGAGTTCCATGAAACACTGAAGAGTTTCGTGCAGAATGCTGAGGTTGATATCGTGGGTCTTGTCGAAGAAGAAAAGAGAATCATGGTTCTGGTGAAGAGCACTGGTGACTACTTCCATGGGAGTTCAGGGAAAGATGAGGGCTTACGATTGTTTGTTATTGTGCGAGATTTTTTAATAATCGTAGATAAGGTTTGCAGAGAGGTAAAATTGGCACAAAAAAAGTCAACAAAAGTTCAGAAAAAGGAGACACCTTCCTCTGAACCCCACCAGCCTTCTACAACACCATCGGCCTCTGATCTTAGGCTGCCTCCTCCGCCTGATCTCCATAAGCGGCTTTTCCCGGCAATCCAAGATCGACGAATGGATAACTCTAGCTCAGATGATGAAAGTTAATTGATTTTACTTGGAGAAGGTATGTTCTAACCTAGTTTAAGAAAGATAATCTCTCGTATATTTTATAGAAGTTCATTCCATGCGTGTGCGTGTAATTTAATTAGAAAAAAAGCAAGTCAAGGATATTTATCTTGAGTACCAAATAAGAAATTATTTTCTTGGCATGTACTCAGGTGAACATCACTGTAGAATCTCAACAACGACATGCCCTTTTGGTTCGTCTGAAGATGTTATCCGTATGCAGTGATCACATAAGGATTCGTGAAAGGGGGGATAAGAGTTGAGCCTGTGGCATATACCCTTCTCTTCAAGGTGGAATTTCACTGGATTGAATCTATGCTCACTTTCGAAAGTACCTCCGGTGATGTTTGACCCCAACTTATGGCTGGCCGTGTACATCAATGACTCACCACTGATCAGGCGGACGATAGGACTAATGTCGCACAACGCCAGTACTATACCGAACTGGCTGAACTGTGGCTGCTCATCCTCCTTTCAAAAGGCTAACAATTTCTTGATTGACTAGCTATTGGACCCAACATCGCAATAGTAGAGTGACCTTCCTTGTAATTTGGTGTCCTGTGGAGAATGAACTTATGACAAAACAATGTTATTGCCCTCAGACAGCCGGAAGTCCGCAGCAGCGATTTAGACTGGGTGGTTGTTTTTTCCTATTTCTTTGTTCTTCTCACCTATGATTATTTGTTTTTTACTTTTGTTCATAATTTTGACCTTTTGGGAGTGAAAAAGGTGTAGCAAGGTAGTTTTGTGTTCAATAGAATTGTTTTTACTTTTTTTTTGTTGTTGTCCAAATAGAATTGTTTTAACTTACCGTCGGAAGTTTCTTGTTTCATATTAAACAAAGAACAATGTTACGGGCATGAGAGGCTTCTGTGGCGATAAAGAAGTTTAAACAAAGTGCTGCTGGGCTCTTCTCATTTTCTTATTTTTCTCATTCTCCATAAAACTAAAAATAAAGAGAAAATTGTAGCAATAGTCCTTTAATTTTGAATTATTTGGAGTAATGATATATCAACTAAAAATTCATGACCGTTTGTCCCTTAATTCATCATAACATGCAGCTATGGTCTTTTTATCAACTCCATCAGAATTTTGTCAAAATGACTCATGTTGGAATGACCATTTCCATAATTAGGTTAAAGTTGAGGGATCATTGCTCCAGTTGGATTAAAGTCGAGGGACCGTTTCTCTTATTGGATTAAAGTTGAGGGATTATTGCTACAATTTTTTCATTTGATTTTCTATACTTGCCCCTTGATCAGCCTCATATACACAAGTGACTCATTTTGGCTGAAGTTGTAACGAAGTTGACGAAAATGACCATAGCTACTGTTGACCCTAAAAACTACCAAGCCTACGTGGCGCGCAGACCTAGTAATCTATAAGCTAACTACGTCCTTCGGTGAATGCAGGGCGTGCCAACTCGTCGGCCGAGCTTGGCCGAGGAGTAAATTTGTTGATGTTGCGTTGGGTGCGCGGCTGACTTCTGCGTCTTGCGATTGCGATCGAGAAAGGAACACGTCTCGGCCTCTTGGGTTCTCGAACCTGAAGACAAGGCTACTATTCTTACGAAGTTCAATATCAAATTCGGCTTTCAATGTGCCGAATGTAATAACTTGTAACACCTCACTTCGCTGAGAAGGCTGATGAGATGCCTTGACCAATAAGGATTCAGAAATCCTTCTCGACCGAGACTTGGATAGGTAATCAACCGTCCTCGCCGCAGTGCTGTTGATGCCAACGGAAGATGCTGCGAGATCGGCTGATTCTACGGTGACAGAGCTATCTATGCCGACTTAAGATATCACCGGTTGCTTTCACAATGCTGTTGATGCCAACAGAAGATGTGTCAGCGAAAAGAGAAAATAAAAAATCTCAAAGTTATTGAGAGAGTTTGCGCAGGGCAGTTGTGTGTGGAATTGGAGGTCCTCTTCCCATTGCCACTGCATCTGTATTTATAGCACTGAAGTACTTGCTCTGCACGGTCAGATGATGTTGCAGAGTTTAATTGCAATTCTAATTCCTGAAGTTGATCCGTATCAGAACCCAGAAACCAGGGCTATCCTTCAAACTGAGCCGTGAGATTTGTTCCAAGACTTTTCAAACTTAACAGTCCATCTAGGCTTATCACATCACATTTCTAGTCCACCTAGGCTTCTCATCTCTTTGTCAAAAACCTATCCGTAGCCATGCTTTATCCCATTAAGATTCCCAAGATAACCTACATGCTAGGCTTTAAATAAATAATATTTACCTAAACAACCATCCATTATATATATATATATATACAGAGAGCTTAAGGGGAGGGATCCCCATTTTTTGAAAAAATGGGGATTAGGTGTGGGGCCCACTTCACATCTAATTTCAACGATCCGAACCGTCTATTTTGTTAGTCTCGATCCATAGATCATCCTTGCAAAATATTAGCAACATTGGAAATGTTTAAGACATCTAATTGGGTTCAAGGAAATGAACGAATACTTTGTTATATAAGAAAATATGAAATTTGATATTGATAATTAAATAGGCAAATGGTTTCGGATTGAATTGAATTTTTGCAAGGATGATCTATGAATCGAGACTAACAAAATAGACGGTTCGGATCGTTGAAATTTGATGTGAAGTGGGCCCCACACCTAATCCCCATTTTTTTCAAAAAATGGGGATCCCTTCCCTTAAGCTCTCTGTATATATATATATATAGTTGGTAGTCTTTCACATGGCATGGACACTAACCCCATCATCAATTTTTATGATCCTATACTCAATCTGACAACACCAACACCACAAGTCATCAATCTCTACTGTCGTGCATGCATAATTAAAACATAATTCACCATTAAAAGATAATATCATGATTAAAACCACAATGTATCTTTCAATAATAATTATCTCAACTATCCTGTCATCCAACGGTTGAGAGCCATGTTCATCAACGGCTTTGATCGCACGAACCGATAGTGTAAAATCAGGCCTAAACAACTACACGTTTTGAAAAGTTAATGGACGAATGGTCATGAATTTTTAGTTGAGAGACTATTACTTCAATTGAGTTAAAGTTGATGGACCATTGCTATAATTTCATTTTAAAAAATTAAAAAAAAAAAAAAAAACATCCTTGCTATTTTCTCACCCACTTTGTCTCTTAAATACCCCCAACATGACAATGTTATCCAGTGATCCCAACCTGACCTCTCTGAATTCCCATTCATTCTCCAAATTTCCATTACTCCAGTCGAGTTTAATGAGATTGCCACCCAGCAGCCTACGTCATTTTTGTTAGTTCCAACAAAAATGAAAAAAAAAAAAAAAAAATAACAAGAAGGGCAAAAGACTGTTTACTACCCTCATGTTCCGTGGTTTTCAACATTTAGTACATCAATTTTTTTTCGTCTCAGAGTCATACCTAAGGTGTAAATTTTGGGACAGTTTCATACATCCGTTAGTCAAACTGTTAAGTCTCCCGTTAAGTGATGACATGGCGCACATGTGGACAATGACTGGGTGCCACGTGTCATTAAAATACTTAAAAAATTAATTAAAAAATTAAAAAAAAAAAAAAAAAAAAAAAACAAACCAGCCATTTTCCCCCTCTCCCCCCGCGCCCCCAACCCAAAGGAAGAAGAAGGAGAAAAAAAAAGAAAAAAAAATTGTCTGCCAACCCAGAAGAGGAAGAAGAAGGAGAAGAAGAAGAAGAAGAAGAAGAAGAAAGAAAAAAAAAAAAAAACAGAATCTGCAACACCAGAAGAAAGAAGAGAGGAGAAAAAAAAAAAAAACCGTCTGCCAACCCAGAAGAAGAAGAAGAAAAGGAAGAATGAGGAAGAAGAAGAAGAAGGAGAAGAAGAAGAAGAAGAAGAAAAAAAAAAAAAAAAACCTGAATCGGCAAAGATGAATTCGTCCCCCCCCCCCCCGCGACCCACTTGTTCCAACGCCTCCACAACTACTTGGGCTTTGTTCCTGGGTTCTACGGGAGTCTAATGATGGTGGTGGTTGACGAGATTTACTTCAAAAATGGCGGATAGCCGTCACACCACCTTCGCTGCACCCCTCACGGTTTCTTCCATTTTCACCACCAAATCTCTCCAAATTTGGGATGTAATAGGTAGAGGGAAGGTCATGAAGTTGATTCTAGGTGGTTAGGTAGTGCAATTTGCTGGAAAAATAGGTGAAAATTTGTCGGAAAACAAAGAATGATGCGGGTAGGGTCGCGGGTCAAGGAGAGACCCGGCCGTTCCCCTCCTTCTCCCCTCCCTCCTTTCTCTCCTTTCCTCCTCCCTCATTCGCCACCTCATTTCTCTCTCCTCCTCCCCTTGGCCGAAACTCTCCCCTTTCTCTCCTGAAACTCTCTTCTTCCTCTCTTCCTTCTTCTTCCTCTTTCTTCCTTTTCTGGGTTGCAAACGGCTTTTTTTTTTTTTTTTTTTTTTTTTTTTTTTCTCCTTCTTCTTCCTCTGGGTTAGGGGCACGGGGGAGAGGGGGAAAATGGATTGTTAATTTTTTTTTAAATTTTAATTATTTAATTAATTTTTTAAATATTTTTAATGACACGTGGCGTCTAGTCATTGTCCACATAAGCGCCACATCATCACTTAACGGGAGAACTAACAGTTTGACTAACGGATGTATGAGACTGTTCCAAAATTTACACTTTAGGTATGACTCTGAGATGAAAAAAAATTGATATACTAAATGTTGAAAACCATGAAACTTGAGGGTAGTAAACAGTCTTTTGCCCTAAGAAGAAAATCACATCTGAAAAGACACCCAGCCGCCGTAGGCGGCCCCCCATAGAACCACTGCTCACTCCTCCTTAGTTGTAATCACTAATTCTTAAACCCTAGGGTTTTAGTCTGCGTGTTCCAAAGTCCAGTTCTCCATCTAGGGTTTTGATTCCATTCGGCTGAACAGTAAGGAGAGCTTCGGAATTCCATTCGGCTGCTCAGGAATCCCAACTTTTCATCGTCAAAGGTTTTGCTCGCTTTTAATTTTTGTTATTGTTATTCTTCTTTCCAATTGTTCAACTTTCACTTGCTAATTGCTACTCAGATTTTAGGGTTTCAATTCAATTATTGTAGGATTAGACGTGTAAAGATTTGAGCTTTTGGAACTTACCCAAGAATTAATTTCCCTAATTGTTCGACATTTTGATTTATCAAATTTGTTCGAGATGGTTATGTATATTTGGTGTATCTGCAATTCCGCAGCTTAAAAAAATCAGTTGTTTGTGATACCTTCGCAGTTAATTTGTGGCGGTTGCTTTGAATTATTCAGCATATCATCCTTAAGGAATGCTGTTAGCAGACGGGCTCACAAGGAACGAGCTCAACCGTGAGTGACCACATTCTGTTCGCTGTTAGACTTTCGGATAATGTTGTTTTGCATCAGATGATGGGATTAATGTTTTTGTGTTTTGGGTCCAAATTTTTTATAGGGAATCGAAGAAAAAATTTGGGCTGCTTGAAAAGCACAAGGACTATGTTGAGCGTGCGAAAGCGTATCATAAGAAGGAGGAGACTTTACGGGTAAATTTATGATGGTTATGTTGCTTGTCTCCTTGGATTTCATCATCTACTAATAGCCTGGTAGTTTAACTTCCGGATATGGTATACGTCTCTCATCTGTCTTTTCACCCAACAAATGAGAAGGCCTTCCTCAGAAACCCAGATGAGTTCAACTTCAAGATGACCAAGACACGAACTGTTGATGGAGTCCATAAATTAGAGTAACTTCTATATCGTTTTCCTTTTTCACACTTGCTACTCAAATGGTATAGCTCACTACAGGAGTCGGGCAAACAAGTAAACTCCAGAAGAGCTCCTGCTTATGAAGACCCAAGATATTGGATACATATTTCAGAAAGTGCAGAGTGAGAAAAAGGTTATAAATACATATATCATGAAGCTATGGGCTACCAATGGGTTTTTTGAAATTAACATGTTGGTTATAATTATGTCGTTAATTAATTTAGAAAACTGAAAAGTTAACTGCGACGCTGCACTCTTTTGATAATTGGCCTTCAAATTGATACGTTTACTTTGCTGAAGACAGGTTTGAGCTTCCTTCAAATCTTCTGTCCTTGGAGAATTTTAATTCTGAATTAGTGGATTTTTTTTATTTTTTTCGTTGCTGTTATTTGTAATCAGACTTGGATCTGGGGAAAGACCATTTTCACCATTTTTTCAATTCTTTGTTATCCCTTATTATCCCCAGAGGTTGCATGTTTCCATTGTTCTAATTGATTTTGTTATGTATATTTTCTTATATTCATTGAATTTGTTTTGTCATCAGTAGGCACAAGTATCTAGAGTGATTTGTTAACCCCTTTTTCCAAGCAAACACACAACACACAACACAAACACGAACATATATCTGGTGTACATGAACCCCAACGTTCATATGCACGCATACACTACACACATTGAAAAGGAACGGTAACAAATGGGAAGATGATGTATACATAAAACTTGTGTGTTTCTCCTGATTCTGTTTTGGACTTATATGAAATGCTTTTCATCATTTTTACTTGAGTATATTTACAAAACAAATTTATGGCCCCGAAAAAGGGGACATAGAAATAATGTGATACAAGTGACTCTAAGTGTGCTATTAGAAATAATGTGATACAAGTAATTCTGATTCTGTTGAAAGTAGATCCTCGTGGCTTCTACTGGGGACACTAGGCTAATTTCTTAGTGTTGTTAATTGTTTCTTGGGAAGACATTATTATTCAATTCTTCACATAGGGGTATGATCTATAATGTTATTAAATTCATGTGAGACCACTCCGTGTGAAAGAGTTGGGAAGAAAAGTAGTTTCTTAACTTCTTGTCATTTATGTTCCCGTTTGCCAAATATTTTACATATACTTGAGTCAAAATAAACAAACAAGAGGGAGCCTTCACAAAGGTTGCTTAGGAGAAGTCTCAGCAGTCGGTAGAGCCCCAGAAAGAGAAGGCACCGGAGGGGGATCATTCGGAGCCTCAGTACTGGACAGAACCCTAGAAGGAGGAGGCATCAGAGGTTGATCATTTGGAGCTTCATTACGCGGTACAGCCCCAGAAGACGAAGGCAATAAATGCCTTTGGAACAAACCCACAAATCTCTGATGATCAAGTAAAACCTGACCATCAGATTCCTTCATTTGGTCAAGCTTCCTCTTCATGTTTGTAGCATAGTCATGTGCGAGCCGGTGCAACTGTTTATTCTCATGCTTGAGCCCTCTAATCTCCTGTTTGAGACTCATCACTTCAGCCGCCAATGATTCAACTTGGCGGGTTCGAGCAAATAGGCGTTGGGCCATATTAGACACAGAACCTGCACACTGAACACTAAGAGCCAGAGAATCCTTAACAGCCAACTCATCAGACCGTTTGGAAAGTAGTCTGTTATCTTTGGGAGTGAGAAGGTTCCTGGCCACTACCGCAGCGGTCATATCATTCTTCATCACGGAATCCCCAACGGTAAGAGGACCAGTAGGGGAGACGAAGGATGGGCGCCATATGTTGTCTGGAGAAGGCGGGGCTGCCTCTTCAACAAGGTTCAAGTCAAAACGACGGTCGGAGGGGCCAGACATTTTCAAAGGTGTTGAAGAGAGAAGAGGTCGGATAAATCAAGATCTTAGAAGTGCAAGAATGGAGCTTCTACTGGTGGATATTCAAGTGTGCTTTGGAACTTAATGTCAGCCCCTATAAAAATCTGCACTCGACGAAGCTTCAGAAATCGAAGAGGCGCCTGCTCAGAAATCGAAGAGGCGTTTGCTTTCTCAAAAGCTGGGCTGCTCAGAGACCACGAGGGTCGATCTCAGAAATCGAAGAGACGTTTGCTTTCTCAAAAGCTGGGCTGCTCAAAGACCACGAAGGCCGATCTCAGAAATCGAAGAGGCTTGCTTTCTCAAAAGCTGGGCTGCTCAGAGACCACGAGGGCCGATCTCAGAAATCGAAGAGGCACCTACTTTTCCAGCCTTGTCAGCACCTGTCACACGCACACTCAGCTTTGCGGAAATTATGGGCATTCTGTCGAAGATTTCTGGCGAAGTAGAAAGCACATGAATCGTACTGTTCAATCACCCACTTCCCACACGCAACAGTAGCTCATGGGTACCACAGATAACTTTGCCAAAGTTCTCTGACAAAGTTGAGACACGTGAAGCTTGCAACTCCCACTACATCGCTCTGACCAATAAGGGTAAAAGAATTGCAAAGAAACAACACTAACAAAGTTTAGACACATAAATTTTGAAGGTCTAGCTACCATATTATTACCCACAAGGGTAAAGGAACAGTACCACTGCTGGATAATTGGAAAGTCCCGGTGTGTCAACCTCTGTGCTTCGTGGCAAGGTAGACTAGCAAACATGCCCAACCTTTACTCACATTCAAGAAAATCGAAGAGGCACCGCCCTCCAAATCTCGAGAGCCAGACTCCCAACATGATTACTTTCTCAAAAATCGAAGAGAGGGTAAAGAAACAGTACCACTGCTGGATAATTGGAAAGTCCCTGTGTGTCAACCTTTGTGCTTCGTGGCAAGGTAGACTAGCAAACATGCCCAACCTTTACTCACATTCGAGAAAACACTCCCAACAAGATTGCTTGCTCCAAAATCGAAGAGGTACCGCCCTCCGAATCTCGAGAGCCAGACTCCCAACATGATTACTTTCTCAAAAATTGAAGAGAGGGTAAAGGAACAGTACCACTGCTAGATAATTGGAAAGTCCCTGTGTGTCAACCTCTATGCTTCGTGGCAAGGTAGACTAGCAAACATGCCCAACCTTTACTCACATTCGAGAAAATCGAAGAGGCACCGCCCTCCGAATCTCGAGAGCCAGACTCCCAACATGATTACTTTCTCAAAAATTGAAGAGACACCGCTCTCCGAATCTCGAGAGCCAGACCCCCATCAGGATTGCTTTCTCAAAAATCGAAGAGGCATCGTTCTCCGAATCTCGAGAGCCAGATCCCCGACAGGATTGCTTGTTCGAAAACCGAAGAGGCACCACTTTCCCAACTTCAAGAGCTGGATCTCCTTGGATAAAGCTTGTCTGTAATCTTCACACGCAACATCAGCTTTCCAGATACCACAGACCACTTTTTCAAAGTGCTCTGACAGAGTTAAAACATGTGAAGCTGACAGCTCCCACTACCGTGCTATGACCAAGCAGGGTAAAGGAATAGCATTATTACTTGATGTTAGGGAGACTCCTATATATGTCGACCTCCATCCCTAACGGAGAGGCAGACCTGCAATAATGCTCAACCCTTTCTCTTATCTGAGAGGGCACTCCCAACGAAGCCTTTCGAAATATTCAGCTTTCTTTCCCCCCGATAATACCTCTGTAAACAAGCTATACTAGAGCAAGAATATCTCATATCATCAGGGTTAAAAGCAAGAGTATCCCATATCATGCTTTTTCCCTGTCTTTTCCTTTGGCCTTGTTCTTACCTGCACGACAAGGAGAAAGAGAGCAATCAGTCAGCACTTGGAATCAAGCTTCCAGCCAGGAACTGACTGCCTGGAACCCCTTACCTGATTACTTACCTGGCATTGCTCTCGAGTACTCATCTTCAACATCTTATGCTTCCAGGGAAGATACCGCACCTGCATGAGGAACAGATAGGGCAAGTGAGAAGGATACAAGGAAGCATGTGGAGACAAGCGTAACAGCATACGTGCCGATACATCCACTACTCTGTCAAAAGCAAAAGTATCCCATATCAGCAGGGTCGAACGTACTCTAGATTTGATGGACTTGTTTTGACCCTCAAATTCTTCAGTCGGCCTTATACTCTGGAGGAAACCAGAAAACCCACCAGCCCAGTTCAAGAATAAGCCTGTGGAAAGTTACTTCTTCAAAAGCAAAAGTATCCCATATCATCTCTTCTCATTTTTCTTCTCTTTATCCTTCATGCTGCCTGCAAGATAGGGAGAATGTGAACAATCAGCCGGAGCTCTGATTGCTTACCTTGTCTGTCACCTCTTTCAGCAGATCGCCTAGCTCGGCGACTTGGGGGACTCCTACTACATGGTTTGTATCGCGCTTGACCAAGCATGAAACTACAAGTAAGCTTCAAGTGAAATTGATACATTACCTTGTGCATCTCCACCAGTTACAGATACCACCCCTGGATGGAGGAAGAGTACTTCCAGAGAAGATGCCACATCTACCTATGAGACAGATAAGGCAAGTCAAGACGATACCACACTCCGGTACTTAGAAGTTTCATGGCTACGAGATCATTCTCCCACAATATTTCCTAATGTCATTTGTACTAAATCATTCACTTGTACTCACTAAAGGAGAGCTTGAACCTATGTACTTGTGTAAACCCTTCACAATTAATGAGAACTCCTCTATTCCGTGGACGTAGCCAATCTGGGTGAACCACGTACATCTTGTGTTTGCTTTCCTATCTCTATCCATTTATATACTTATCCACACTAATGACCGGAGCAATCTAGCAAAGATCACAAAAAGTGATTGTTTTCGCTACCTAGGATCTATCTTGCAAAAGAACGGAGAATTAGATGGAGATCTCAACCATAGAATACAAGCTGGATGGATGAAGTGTAAGAGTGCATCCGGCGTGTTGTGTGACCGTCGTAGGCCACTGAAGCTCAAGGGAAAATTTTATAGGACGGCAATAAGGCCAGCGATGTTGTATGGCATAGAATGTTGGGCGGTGAAGCATCACACGTACATAAAATGGGTGTAGCGGAAATGAGGATGCTTCGTGGGATGTATGGGCACACGAGAAATGATAAGATTGGGAATGAGGATATCCGAGGTAAAGTAGGAGTAGCCAAAATTGAAGGAAATATGAGAGAAAATCGGTTCCGGTGGTTTGGACATGTGCAAAGAAGGCCTACTGACGCTCCGGTCCGAAAATGTGACTACGGGACAGAGGTTCAGGGCCGAAGGGGTAGAGGAAGACCTAGGAAAACTTTGGAAGAGACCCTAAGAAAAGACTTGAGTACTTGGATCTAACGGAGGACACGACACAAAACCGAGCGCAATGGCGTTCTAGGATTCATATAGCCGACCCCACTTAGTGGGAAAAAGCTTTGTTGTTGTTGTAATTATTTTTTTGGCAGGAATGAGGCTAGAGAAATTCAATCGTGTCCAAAAAGTGGGAAAATGCCGGTTTCTGAGGACATTACTGATCGTATAAAAAGGTACAAATCCATCAACCATGAAGTGAATAGGACTGGATTGTTTCGTAATAGAGGAAAGGTTTTAAGCAAAACTAGTCTCTCAAGACCAAAGGCTGTGATTTGGCTTTTATACTGTAATGTGATTGTGATATGTGAATATGTCAACTGAGCTAAAAGAGCATAAACAAATCTTAATGGTTACAAGTATATGGCTAAAAAATTTCACAAAAAATAAAAAAAATTATCTTGCAAAAGTTGTTCCATATATTGAGTTATTAACCTGTAGATAAACAGCTTTTTGCTGCTATGCCAACCTAATAGAACCCCTTGTTCTAACCTTGCACATGTATGCTAGTATTTCTCTTGTATTACTCCAACAACTTCTTTTACAAATCATAACCCTGCATCTGCACAATTATCCAGTATTTATACCAGAACGCAGGCTAAGGTCCTAACAAGATATTTTCCCAAATCTAATCTTTATCTAACAAACTATTATTCTTATCCACAACATTCAACTAATGACTACAAGACATCTGTCAATTAACAACATTAGCTCGCCACAATGTTGTACAATTATCACTAATAACAGTATCCTATCATTACCCCACCCTAAAAAATGAACCTTGTCCTCAAAGTTGGAATGCAGGAAACCTGTTGACAAACTCTGCATAATTTTCCCAAGTCGCATCCTCCTTAGGCC